CTCCCTGCTCAGCGGAGCCTGCTTCTCCCTCTCCCTCTGCCTGCTGCTCACCCTGCTTGTGCTTTCTCTCACTATCTCTCTCTGTGTCAAATAAATAAATAAAAAATCTTTAAAAAAAAAATCTTTAAGCAGTTGTTGCTCCTTTGAAGGCTAGATTTGTTCCTTCAGGTGAGTTACAAAATTGAAAAGGTGCTCCATCCCCCAGTCAATCATTAAAAGCCCAACCAGTGAATCAGACAGAATGGGACTCAGTCGGGTCTATTTCCATTGCTCCAGGCCCCACAAGTAGGCTTGGAACAGGGCTTCCCTTACTCAACCTCACACTGAAAAGCACCTTAGCAGCTCCTTTTAATGAAACAACCATGGAAATCACAAGCACAGCTAGGCAACCCCTCAGAAGCTCAGGGGCCATCCTCATTCTTAGCACCCCTCCCCCCGCCTCACCTGCGTGTGTGTAATCATAATTACACAAAAGCAGACAGGGTGAGGGCTTTCTCCTGCTGTCATAAATCTCTGCAGATTCAAAAAGCAAACACAAAGAGCCCCAGCTCAGAGATTCTCTGGGCCAAATTCAGCAGCAAGATATTTTGGAATTGTTGACCTGAGGTTTTCGTGCCTGTCCTTCCTCGGTTCCCAACCCCTTGCCCCTTTATTGTGAATACACCTCTTTGCTTCCCACCCACACAGATCAGTGAAGAATTTCTCCTGAGCAGTGGTAGGTCCAACAGGGCCATTACTGGGAGAGAAGCCCTTGACTTTGCCAAGAAATGTATCCCCCTTTATTGTAACTTTCATCTCCAGGTGGATCCTTGGTTCTCCACTCAGTGCTTCTCTTTCTGAATTCCTCTTTCTCTGAGAACTCATCTGTGCCATAGCTTTAACCATTCGCCCCCGAGCTCGTGACGGAGGGATGAGGCCCTTTCAGGGTGCCCAGCACAGTGCCTGGTGCATAGTAGGCTTCTCCCAGAGGGCTGAGCACAGTACCCAGTGCACAAGAGGCTTTTCACGGGGTGCTGAGCACAGTGCCTGGCACATAGTAGGCTTCCTAGTAAATGTGTACAATTACTTAGCAATACCACCTCTAGGAATCCATTCTTTTTTTTTTTTTTTAAGATTTTATTTATTTATTTGACAGAGACACAGAGCACAAACAGGGGGAGCAGGAGAAGGAGAAGCAGGCTCCCGCTGAGCAGGGAGCCCGATGCAGGGCTCGATCCCAGGACCCCGGGATCATGTCCTGAGCCAAAGGCAGATGCTTAACGACTGAGCCATCCAGGCACCCCTAGGAATCCATTCTCGATCACATTCTGTGCTCTCTCTAGGTGATTAGACTCTCCTTGATTTCTACCATCTCCGTTTCTTTATCTGTAAAATGAGGAAATTTCCCCTGGCAGGATTGTCTGAGGGGCACCACCGTGGTCCACTCATACGGGTCAGCAGAGGGAGAGGAGACCAGCAAAGCCTGGGGCTATGATCCACCTTGTCTGCACCCGCTCACCTGGCTGGGATTCGCTCCTCACCTCCCGCTACCTACTGAAATGCTTCCCTTCCATCAACCTCCCTGCTGGGGACTGCCCACTTTGGTGCTCTCTGTCTCTGTCTCTCTCTCTCTCTTTCTCTTTCTCTCCTCTTTACTTTTGAAGTCCTTATAGTGAGATGCACATGCTCAAAGCTTCTAATTCTTCTACTTGATTTCAAGCATAGTCAGAGAAGGGGCAAGGGATGTAAAGGTGAGATCTCTATTACAACTATTTCCTCCCATTTCCTTTACAATGCCTGGCTGAAGGCTGAGAACGCGTTCAAAAGAAGCTTACCAATTGACTGGCTTACAAAAGAATTTGCATCTCAAGAAATTTTATGTTATTATTTTTCCCCTCATGTATCACCACAGAACCCTGTAACAAACAAAATCCATGGTCAGAAACCAAAGAGAAATCACTCTACATTGCACTCCTATTGCATATTAGTGGTTGGATTTTTTTTCCCACTTTCTTTTCATTTTTTGTCTTCATGCGCCAAGAATTTATACAAAGCTGTGATCACAGTGTAGCTAGAATTTGGCATTCTGCTTTTTTTCCACTCAATATGCCACTGTGGATATTTTTTCATTTTGTGACAGAATCTTCATAATTATCTTTTTTTTTTTTTTTTTTTTTATGGGCTGCATAATACTCAAACGTGTGGGTGTAGCATAATGCACTGAACTGTTTCCCTGCTGTTGATAATGGAGGCTGGTTCTGAAATCTCACTATTACAGACAATGCTATAATTCACCCTGTTGGTATATGTTGAGCACCTACCCTGAGGCAGAAGCAGTGCTTGGCTCTGCGACAGGCACTGAGTACCTGTTGCTTGTATCTTCTTCTGGATTCTTTGCTGAGGGTATGGTTGGTGGGACAGAGGGCATGAACCCATCTGTGGCTTCCTAGTCATTTTTGATGGAATCGTAGGGTCTCTGATTAAACACATAAGGAATCGGTGGAAGTCACATTTGAAAGAAGCTGGTGTTGAGGCAGGTCTCAAATGCTGTCTCTTTCTGCTCTTCTTCTTTTTTTTAAAGATTTATTTATTTGACAGAGAGAGAGAGCGCGCACAAGCAGGGGAAGCAGCAGAATGAGAGGGAGAAGCAGGCTTCCCGCCGAGCTGGAAGCCTCATGCGGGGCTGGATCCCAGGACCCTGGGATCATGACCTGTGCTGAAGGCAGATGCTCAACTGACTGAGCCACCCAGGCGTCCCTCTTTTGCTCTTCTGACATCAGCATGAATCACTGACTCAGGGCTAGAAGGGCAGCAGGTTGAGGACAGTGCAGTGATGGGGGTGGGGGGAGATGGAAAATTCTCCAGGGAAAATGGGGAAGGCAGGAGCTCTCTGGTTATGTACTGTCACTTACTTACTTACTTACTTATTTAAGATGTTATTAATATATTTGAGAGAGAGAAAACACAAGCAGGAGAGGGACAGAGGGAGAGGGAGAAGCAGGCTCCCTGCTGAGCCGGGAGCCTGATGTGGGGCTCGATCCCAGGACCCTGGAATCACAACCTGAGCCACCCAGGTGCCGCTCACTGTCACTCTTTTAGAAGAGTAGCCACCTCCTGACCCTCTTTGCCCATTGCTTCTCACATCCTACTACCTCCAGCTACTCTGGTCCTCTTTCAGATTCTTGAATTTACCAAGTCATTCCTGAGCCTGGACCTTACACATGCTGTTCTGCCTGGTCAGAAATGCTGTTCCTATGGCCACAGTTTCTCATCCTTTAATGTTCAACCCGAATCTCACTCTTTGATGGACTCTATGTCTGATCTCCCTGTCTGCATATGTTCACCAGCATCTTGCATTTCTCCACCAGAGCACATATCAAGAGTATAAATCAATATATATTTTTTTTAACAATAAACATAACCAATGTTTATTAAGACCGACTTTGCCCATGCAATATTGCTTAGTGTAAAACTGGAACTCTAAGTCTGACCCATTTTTACATTGCACATGTTAAATTTGAGGATTCTCAGTTTTTTGTTTTTTGTTTTTTACTTTTATCTTCAGATATTTTTTTATTCTTATGTTAATCCCCATCAATATATTTTTTAAATACTGTTTTTTGTCCCTCTTCCCCAACTAGACTCAAAGCTCCATGAAGGCAGTGACTCTCAAGGTGTTTTTTTTGGCCAGATCTTCTGCCCTAGCACAGCACCTGGCCCATCACAGACACCTGGTATTAAGTTGGTCAGGGTATGAATGAGGAACGAATGCTTGCAAAATTATCATTTAAGGGATTAAAGGCAAAGCCTGCTGGAGGGACCATGGCAGTTCATTTTCCAGACCACAGTTCAAGAGATTCAAGTTACAAGAAGGAAGAGCTACATGAAGGTTAGGAAAGTAGGCAAAGGTCCATCCAGGAAGTCTTTAAAATATGCCTGCAATGTCTAGATATCTGAGAAACAGGTGCTGAACCTCTAATATCTAGTTTGGAAGCTCTTTTTTCACACCCCACTGGAAATATCGGGACAACCTTAAATTCTGTGCAAATCTCTACCTTTAAAATTTAAAAAAAAATCTGAAAATCCAGAGCATCAGAAGACTCTCCTTTCCAAAAGACTCCCCAAATTTCACCTAATCTGGTCTAAATCTATCCCCTTCGACAACCAGATCTCCCATCCTCCAAGTCCTTCAATTTGGAGAAAGTTGTTTCTTGATTATGATGCTAGACGGACAACTGACTTTCTCTGTGTCATACAATTTAGGGCCAGGAAATGAAGAGACCGAAACCACAGCTCTGAGACCTCTCTGAATCCCCTAAGGAGCTGGGAGTGGAGCGAGCCTGAGCATCAGCCCTCCCCCCCCCCCCTTCTGAGAGGCAGCAAGGGTGTGACACACAAATCATCTCAAGGTAGCTGGGTTTCCCACCTGATTTCCCCTATTGACACACACAGGGCCATAGTCAATAGCTTCAGGACCCCAGGTGGAGCATGGGTCAGGTTATAAACCCACGTTCCCCACCGTGGGTCTGCACCCACCAGCAACCTGATCTCCCTACCTACAGCCTCCCACCTCCCAGTCCTCCTCTACACACCACGAGTGACTCTTCAAAACTCGAATCTGATCGTGTCACCACTTTGTTCCTTCGGCGGCTCTCAGTCACACCCAGGTTGGAGTCCACATTTCCTTGGTCTGTCATGTGAATGAATGAGAAATAAACTTCTCGATGTAAAGGTCGTATCACAGCCACTATCATAATCTAGCTTGGCAAGTTACTCAACTGCACTGTTCCTCAGTTTTATCCTCTCCAAATTGGGGGGGGGGGCTGTCATAATAGGGTTGCTGAGAATTAAATGAGCTCATCCACATCAAGTATTCAGCACAGAGCTAGTAATACTCGGCCCCCGATACATGGTTACTATGATTGCTATTACTCTTACGATCATCAGCCCTCTCTAAATGAGTGCTACTGTTCTTTAAGAGAAGAGCAAGGACCAACCTGGTGCTCTTTAGAGCAAACACCTTACCTTTTCACTTCCTGCACATAGTCTGCATTTCTGTCAAAGAGGTGGGTCATGGAGTCTTTGATTGCTTCATGCTTGAAAGTAGAAGCTGTTCCAAAGACAGTCACATTGGGGATAGTGGAACACAGCTGAGCCACAGCTTGGCCCTGGAAGTGAAATGCAATAGACAAGTCACACAGGAGAGTTACCATCCAACAGCCAGTCTTGCTGGAGTAGAGTGGGGTTTCTCAACCTTACCATTACTGACCTTTCTTAGGCTGGATCAGTCTTTTTGTAGGGGGCTGAAGTGGGCATTGTAAGATGTTTAGCAGCAACTTTCACCTCTGACCTGCTAGCTGCAAGTAAGCACCCCTCGGTTTTGATAACCCAAAATGTCTCCAGACATTTCAGAATGTCCCCTGGGGGACAAAGTCTCCCTTGGTTGATAACTACTAAAAAACCCCAGTACCAAGACTTAACTATTATTTTACCACACTGAACCTCAGGTTCCTCATCTATAAATTAGCAGTAATGGTACCTACTCCATAGGGATCTTGGGAGATGTCTTAGCTTGGATCCCCCAGAAGCTGAGGCAAGGATTTGAGAGTAAATACTCTATCTGGAATATGACCACAGGAAATACTAGGGTATCGAGACACAAAGAGAAGGCAGCCAATAAACGGTGTGCTATCAAGTCAGCACCCACCATGGATAAACGGAACTCAGTCCTTCTGAGGAATTCCCTGAGCAGGTGTAGAATATACCTCAGAGTTATCCCCAAACACATGGTGAGGAGGCTGGAGTATTCATTCCCTAAATTTCCATCTGCTATCAGTCGAGAGTTGCTTCTGCAACAGTAACTCCTAGGTACATCTGGCTTGTTTTCATGGGCCAGGCACACTCCCACTGCCAGACTCGAAGCCCTAAGCATGCAACCTTCAGCAACATTGAATGCAGGAAGATATGGTGACAGCATCCATTCTGGGGCATGTGAAATGAGGCAATGTGTAACACGGGCCAAGCACCTGGCCCCAAACACGATACTTAATATAAATTACTCAATAAATCCTAATCCTCTGTTCCCTTTTGTGGCTGAGATGTCCAGGCATATAAAGAAAAGGCGAATGCATGAGGTTTAAATATTGAATGGTCTAAGAGAAACCACAAACCCAGTTAGGAATGGGTGTTTTTTCCACATCCTTTCTCAGTATGGTCAGAAATGTAAGTCCTTGGACAAAATACTGTGATCATGTGAATTCAGAAACATTCCAGTAAAATCCAATTTGCTGCTAATGAAGGTGCATTCTAAAACCAAGTACTCTTTCCAGTCTTCTTTCTGCCATCTTAAGGAGGCAGAGATTATTCGACCAAAGTCAACTGTGATATTAACTTCTGCCTATCACTTCATTACATGTGTTCATGTTGGTGGACTAAATCAGGTTGGCAGGTCTATTTTTGGAAATGTTATTCTTCCTAACACTGGCAATGAAAGGCAACATTGACAGAATCCTCGAATGTCAGGGTTAGAAGATCATCCAATTACTCCCTCCCTATCATTGTTCCACAGATGAGGGAAAGGTGACTCAGAAAGGTTAAGTAGACCCAGCTCTTCAAAGGTACATCGAGAATCAAAGCAAGGACTCCTAACTTCTGGTTCTTGCCATTTTCCGTAATGCCATGCCATCTACTTATTTTGACATTTTAAGCTAAGCAGACTTTGAAGCTGCTGCCTAAAATAGACACGTTACTGACTTGGGGGTCAACATTTCAGAACATGGGCATGAACCTAAGACTCCAGTCAGAGTATCATTCTTTCTTCTAAGAATACCTTTGATGTTTGGTTAATTTTTTTTTATCACTTGATTTTAGAGAGCAAAGAGGGGACTATCCTTCTTGATAAGTGGAAATATCAGCAACCCATGCAGCAATCCTCTAAAATCCAACAGGGCTTGAGCTAACCTCGTTTGTGCTGGGACGGGAGATGAGATCTAGTTCCAGTATCCGTGTGGACCCTCCTGCCTGCTGTCCGTAGGCCACCATGACATTAATCCACTTAACTACTTTTTCCAAATTCCTATTATGTAATGGTCACATGGTTCGATGGATGGATGCAGGAGTGTCAGAAATGAGTGACACACCTTACTCTCTATTCTCTGGTCCCAAGTCCCCCACCGAGCCTTAGATTTGTGTATTGAATGACAACCTTGATGCCGGTCTCCCCCTGGCTATCCAAAAACAACACATCAAAGTCAACTCATCCAAAACATAACTCTTGGCTATCTCCAAACGAGTTACTCCTTATATTGCTTTGCTGGGGCCATTATAACAAAATACCACAGACCAGGGGGCTTACACAACAGAAATTTGTTTCACCATTCTGGAGGATATAAGTCCAAAATCAAGGTGTTGGCAGGGTTGGTTCCTTCCAGTGGCTGTGAGGGAAGGGTCTGGTCCAGCCCTCTGTCCTTGGTTTGTAAATGGCTGTCTTCTCCCTAGGCCTCTTCACATGGTCCTCCCTCTATCCATCCCAGTGCTGTGTGACCCTCATTCCAGGGTGTCCAACCTGTGTCCAAATTTCCCCTTCTTATAAGGATACTAGTCATATTGGATTAGGACCTACCCTCATTTAAACTTGATTATCTCTATAAAGACCCTATAGCCAGATGAGGGCACCTTCTGAGGTACTGGGGGTTAGGACTTCAACAAACGAATCAACAAACAAGATTCAACCCATAACATTCCTCTTACTGCATTTCCTGCCTAGGTGGATGAAGCTGAACCATTTACCTATCACTAGGCTAAAGACGGGAATCTGGGGGTCACCTGACTCTTCTTCCTCCTTCAGCTCCACATCTAGTTAGTGTATTGTTTCTACGCACATCTCTGTGACTATCACCTCTTAGTCTGGGTTGTTGAACTTCCTCACCTGGATGATGACAACACACTTCTGGCTGCCTGGCTGTTTCCGGGTGTACTTCACACCGTGGACAGATTGATTTTTCTCAAACACAACACTGAGCATCTCACTATTTGTCTCAAAGCTTTGCAGTGCCTACCATGGCTTTCAGAATGAAAAGCACACCCTTTTTTTTACTTTAAAAATTTTAAAGATTTTTATTTATTTATTTGAAAAAGAGTGAAAGACAGAGAGCACGAATGGGGGGAGGGGCAGTGGGAGAAGCAGACTCCCCGCTGAGCTGGGAGCCCCATGCGGGACTCAGTCCCAGGACCCTGGTACCATGACCTGAGCCGAAGGCAGATGCTTAACCTACTGAGCCACCCAGGCACCCCTGAAAAGCACACCCTTAAGTTTATCCCACAGGCTGGTGCTCTGGGATCTGACCCAGTCTACCTGAGAACATGCTGTCCCTCCACTTTTCTAGTATCTGCTCCCTAATAGAACATGGCACTTGATCTACCACTGATTGACATTCTCCATGATCCCAGTGCTGTGCAAGCCTCATTCCATGGTGTTCTCAGAATGAACCTTTAACCTGACTCTGCTGAGGAGGAGACTGAGTTTTACAGAGGTTAACACCTGGTCCAAGGCCACTAGGGTAAGATGGCAGACCTTGATCTGCTGTACTCACCAGCTGAGCAAGCTTGAGTAACATATCGGTTCTTCTGTTCATTCATCTTAATATGCAGAATGTAAGGCTATCTATACTCTAAGGTTTTTGTGGGACTATTTGACATAATGCATCCAAGGGCTTAGATTCATTTACAACAGTGAATGCTCAGTATTTGCTGTTACTACTCCTATGAATACTATTATTATTTTTCTTGCTATTATGTCAGCAGTATCTGACAATATGTCAGCAAATCTACTATCCTGTTCTCCTGAAGGTATCACGCTATTTTAACATGGACACTAGTTCCTAACATGCTGTCCCCTACCTATCATGCCTGTCCTTCCACTTCTGCCTTCTAATCACAGCCATTCCCCCTTAGGCAACTCTTCTTCCAGAAATCCTTTCCAGGTAGGGTCGCTTGCCTCTTTTTGTGCCACCATAGACCTGTAGTTCCTTCCTCCAGGACAGTGGCCACCATGGCCTTCTGGGACTGCTGAGTGACCCATCTGTGAGTCCCATGAGGCCAGCGACCATGACATATCAGGCTCTGTACCTCAGTGCCCAGGGCAGAGCCTGGCATATAACAGGTATTTGGTAACACTTGTCAAATGGATGCATGAGAAAGTATAGGAATGTGATTTAACGGGGATTGGGGGGGGGCTCTCATCATTTTGCAGATTGCCATGTCCTTTAGCATTGCTGAGTAGGTGTAAAGCACAGATTCAATTAATGTATCTAGCATCTGACCTGAGCAGAACTTTACCATTTCCATTTTCAAGGAAAAGATACCTGTGGTAGCAAAATGAGACAATATAAGTAACTGGGTTACTTATGTATTTATATAATTATATAACATAATACATGAGTATTTTATATAATATAAAATACAGAAATATAGAAATATATAATATCATGTATAATTACAATAATATAAAATTAGTATTATATCGACCATTCTCTAACACCATACACAAAGATAAACTCAAAATGGATGAAAGACCTCAATGTGAGACAGGAATCCATCAAAATCCTAGAGGAGAACATAGGCAGTAACCTCTTTGACATCGGCCACAGCAACTTCTTTCAAGATACATCTCCAAAAGCTAGTGAAACAAAAGCAAAAATGAACTTTTGGGACTTCATCAAGATAAAAAGCTTCTGCACAGCAAAAGAAACAGTCAACAAAACAAAGAGGCAACCCACAGAATGGGAGAAGATATTTGCAAATGACACTACAGATAAAGGGCTGGTATCCAAGATCTATAAAGAACTTCTCAAACTCAACACCCAAAAAACAGTAAGTCAAAAAGTGGACAGAAGAGATGAACAGACACTTCTCTGAAGAAGACATACAAATGGCTAACAGACACATGAAAAAATGTTCATCATCATTAGCCATCAGGGAAATCCAAATCAAAACCACACTGAGATACCACCTCACACCAGTTAGAATGGCCAAAATGGACAGGGAAAGAAACAACAAATGTTGGAGAGGTTGTGGAGAAAGGGGAACCCTCTTACACTGTTGGTGGGAATGCAAGTTGGTACAGCCACTTTGGAAAACAGTGTTGAGGTTCCTCAAAAATTTAAAAATA